AACAAAACAAGAAAATTGCTCAATGAGAAATTGAGTGAATATCTATAATGTTGTACAAATTTGAACATTAAACACTAATAAAAATGTAATATGAACTTTCCAGTGGATATTATTGTTATTATTACTATTTTTTTTTTCTGATTAGGTAGTAAAACTTAAGAGAAATATTGTATTGAATTTTCATATTTTAATTTTTTTCAATATTGGACATTTGAACGAATTAATGTTGTGACTCAATTAAGTAATAAGTAATAACTGTTGAAGTCTTTAATTGTTAATAATTATTATAATTATACAATAGGGATAAGCTTTAGAAAAATTATTACCAATATTAATTTCTTATAAATTATAATAATCAATAAATGTTATTATGTTAATATTATAAACTTATGTTATTAGATTTATAAATTACATTAAATAGTAACCAATAATCACATTTTTCTCTTTATGCAGTATCCACTGTATCATAAAAAATCTCACTTACATCTAAATCCTTACTTCTAATATAACTGGGCAATTATAGATATTGCAGCTGTACAACTGTAGCAAGTCATATCGCCATTTATTCTTTGCTATTAAATATTATGTATAGTTTACCTATAAGTAGGCAGTTGATTGCATACACCTATATATACTTTAAATTAACACCTATCATAATTCATAGTGATAATAAAAGAACTTCTAAATCAATAAAAATATCTACCTTTATTTAATTCCAAATTTACAAGATATTATGATTATAAAAGTATTTAATAAGGTTCTAACAATGTTAAGACATGTGAAAAAATAATTTATACWAAACTTAACTAATAACAACCAGGAAAAGGCTCTGGTCGGTTTTTGCGTAGAACAAAATTAATCTTGCGTTTCATATCTTCATCGTATATGGCCTTACATTTCTCGTAATTAATTCTCCTTCTCATTTGAGTTGGTTTTTCATAAAACATTGTTCTTCTGTACTGATCCAAGAAACCTTCAGAACCCATAATTCGGTTCAGAACACGACAGGCTTCGTCCACATTTTCATTCCGCACCAACACAGTCCTCGAAATGAATTTTAAATGTTTCATGTCTAATGTCAACAATCAACACTATAACGATATAAGTTATTAAAACTTATTGCAATTTTCAAATAATAATTAAAGCTTCACATAAACTCGATACCTCGATAATCAATTGTAAAATATATTGATTAATAGGAAATGGGAAATTGTAAATAGGTACCTGTACGGCTGTACCTACTTATAATATTTTATATTTAAAAATCAAAATATTCCAAAATATTATATGATAAACAAGGAATCACGTTATCAATTTCAGGCAGTGCTGCCACATACTGAAGATATTATACACAATACAATAATAAATATCATAGGGCCCGAATTTATATGCAATTGTACGTTTTTTCTAAACAGTCCAAAAAATAGCTAGGTAAACTTAAATTTTAATTATAGTCAATAGATCCAAAATAGAAAGTTTTATTTTGCATATTTTTACATATTTAGGCATTTTTTTTAATGYACTCTATATTCCTGTATTTTCAATTTTTTATTGCATATTATATATTTATATAAGGTTTTTAGTGCATAATATATATTATTTTGAATATATTAATGAAAATAACGTAATTATAGTTATATATATATTTTTTTTTTATCGATCTTGAAATCATTAATAATTTCTGCTTCGATATCTGTGGCTGTTATAGCATAACATTTAATATTATACTAGAAAAAATAAAATAAAATATATATATAAAAAAGTGCATACAAATGAATAATTATAGACGTTATTGTTGTTGGTTTTAAAATCTCATAGCAATTGGAGAATTTGTGTTGCCTTAAAAAAATATATGGTGTTTACTTCTTGGACCAAGACTTGGCTAATGTTTAGTCCTCTTAGTTTTTCATGTATTTTTCATTATTCGAAGATGTTTTTGATAGTAATTATTGTGGTACCACATACTTGACATATATTTAGTTATATTTATAGTCCAACTACTYCAACTAATTTGACGAAGTCGTTTTCTTATTTTCACTGAGGCCTATCGGGAGCGAGACAAATAGTAATTTGTTATTGAGTGAGTTTTCGTGAATCACACATTAATTAACTTATTATTTTTTTGTTTGTTTATTTCTTATGTTTTTCGTGATCCGAGTGCACGTAATTTTCGATTGATTTAATTTATTTATATTTAAAAATGAATCATATAAATATAATATAATTTTATGTTAACACATAAAAATAATGAAAATAAAAAACTTTTTTTATTCGATATGTTTGTTTTATATAGTATGTTAACAACACTAAATATACTGATAATTTATTTAATTAATACTCATGGTAAAGGAAACAACGTGACTCGCCCAACAGTACGTCCGTTGAGACTTGACTGAACTTAATAGTAAATTAGTAAATATCATAATAACATTAATCACATAATCAGTTCCCCTTCCTTATCGAATAATATAATATATACCTATAGGACATTGACCAATGTTAACAAATAACAATTAACAAGTATATATAGGTATATTCCTACAAAATAAGATCAAAAATGCATATTTTATAGTGCATATTTCTGAAGTTTTTAGAGCATATTAATCCAGGCCCAAGTAATAACCAGTGGGTAAACGARGAAAATATTCCTATAAATAATAAAATGATAATAATACGGAACGATGATCGATGAACGACTAATAATTATTATAACTAAATTATTGTTTTTAAGAATTTGGGAATTATAGACTGCAGTCTTTATTGTTCTAAATTCCTATTGTATAATTTATTCTTATGATTTTTTTTTGCTTCTTAAAAGCATTTGCCTACGGCGCCTACGTAGGGGTGCGTGCCCCTTCTCATTTTTTTTCATTAA